TGATATTTTTTTGCAAAAATAATGGGAGCCTTCAAACAACCGAACACCTACTTGCCCATAAATTTGGTCCGAAATCAACACTTCTTGAAATTTTTGAAATTTTGTTCGAAAATGACACTTTTGTATGGAAAATGGTCGAAATAGTTATATTTTGAGGTCAAAAATGCAATGAAAAAAGGGTTCATTGAAATTTTGGTTAAACATTAAGCGGGAGGTAAACTAAATTACTGCGGAGCGTGTTTTGATTCACCAGGGAATTCTTACGGACACACAATTTTATTTACACATGCAATAAAACATTGAACTTTCAATTTCATGTTTTTTTTATTCGCCCACCTCTCTTTCGTCTAGACTTTTTTTCACTCACACAAATAAGGGTGTATGTTTCATCCAACCATATGTAGTTCATTTTCCATGCAAATGTGGGGAAAGTTGTTGTGGAGAAATTCCTTTTCCCCTCGCGCATGCATGATATCTGGTGAATATTTTCATAATTTCCCCTCTGATATTTTGGTTTTTTCTTCTCTCTTGTCCTCGCGGTGCATTTTACATGAAAACGAACCCCCCTCTGTTACCTATGGTTGGACGAAATATACATTTTTATACTACTTGGATGAAATTTCAACCGTCGTGGGCAATCGCCGTGTGATTATTTTCTAACCAAAAAGATCTAATAAATTTATATGTCCTTCGGAAAAATCATGATTCTAAATAAAAATCGATTTATAAAAAAACGAATTACATACGTAATCCAAACTTTTCCGCTCCGCAGCAATTTAGTTTACCTCCCGCTTAATGTTTAACCAAAATTTCAATGGACCCTTTTTTCATAGCATTTTTGACCTTAAAATATACCTATTTCGACCATTTTCCATACAAAAGTGTCATTTTCGAACAAAATTTCAAAAATTTCAAGAAATGTTGATTTCGGACCAAATTTATGGCAAGTAGGTGTTCGGTTTTTTGAAGGCTCCCATTATTTTGCAAAAAAACATCAGTTTGCTTTGACCAAAACCCTGAAAAATGCTTTTTTCGGGTACTTCCCGTACAAAAGTGTCATTTTTCAAGGTTTTTCAGGTCCTCAGTCGGAGGCTTATGGTACGAAATTGGTAAATCAGAATGGGCTCAAAATCAATCCGAAGCTTTGTCTCGACATGCCAAAACTTTTGGCTCTTACAGATCTCAATTATCTTGTCAACTTTTTGAGATAATCGGCGAACAAAAAGCTCGGATGCGAACGCGAACGCGGACGCGAACGACGCCATACGCACATCGCTATTTTACACATATTTCATAGTAAACAACATGTTTTTGGGGGTAGATAGGTCTTGATCGATAGGATTTCATCCCATCTACATTGCCTAGTGTACAGATATGTGCTTTTTGAAGTTTGGCGTGACGTTATAGTGGTCCGAAAGAGGAGATGTCATGAAATTTTGGCTAGTAAAACCAATACTTTTCCATACAAACAAAGTTTGCGGAAAAGTAAAACATCTACCACACAGATCAGACGCAACAAAGTTTGTCTTAATTCTCTTACATTCTAATTTTGGTCCACATTTTGAATTGGTCCCCTTTCATTCACAAAACTCGTAAATTTTTCTGACAAAATTCTAAATTCCGCAATTTTTCCGATACAAATGAGTCAGTCACACTCAACATTTCACTTCGATATTTACATTTTTTACGACGCAGTAGACTCAATCTTCGTTTGACCTCTTTCTTTTTCGCAGGAAATTGATTTTTTCTTACTTCAAGCCGCGTCATAAAAATATCCAGAAGAAATTCATTTTTATATCGATTTTTTGGTGCATTTTATGAACATGTGATCACTGTTGCTAACAGATGAAATTGAGTGGTGTGAACAATTTGGTTGAAAAGACTTTGATATTCTGCCAACATACTATATATTGAATTGATTTCATCAGGAAGAAAATTGTAGACAGAAATCATTTTATTCACATTCAAATTGAATTCATTCTCTTTTTTTCTTCAATTTTCACGATCATGAAAGGAATAATCTGTGTTTGTACCGATCGGAAATGCATTATATTTGTTCAGATATCCACTTTTTCAACGAAAAACAATAATTTTGCGCACGACACGAGCGTGTGAATAAGTAACCGGAAAAATCTTTGCACTAAAAAAACTTCAATTTATTCCAGAAGTTACCTTTTGTTCGGTGGAGGTTCAGTTTCACATTTTATTTATAAATCGGGAAAAACACTACCTGTTTTCCAATGCAAATGATTGAAAACACTTGAAAAAAATTGAAATTATTCTCCAATTTTCTTCCAAGTTAGAACAAAGTCCACAAAGCAGAAAAACGTAGAAAATCAATCACTTGCATTGAAAACTGGCCACTGTTGGTCTTTTTGATGATTTCAACTCTACGGCCCACTCAATACTGAATCTCAAAACAAGAATATGTCTTTGGCTTAAACTACAAATACACAGCTGAACACATTCACATTAATATTTTTTCATTCGTACACTGTGCGTTGTCAACGCACCCTTGCGTTAGTACTACATATGAGAATCGATAATTATTATCCTGCATTTATATTTTAAGGGTGTGCGTACATGTACACCCGTCATATCCATCTATTTCGCTTCTTTCGTTTTACTTCGTCGCGTTCTTTATTCTGCTTGTTCGTTAATGCGTGATATTACACGCAACCCCCACAGCATATGTATGAAAAAAAGAATGTAAATAAATATATACAAGCTGCTTGACCAATTAATGCGATTGTGAATATCAGAAGGAAATATATTTATTACATTCGATTCGAATACAAACGAAAAGAACCCACTTTTTCGTTGTTTGAACAGCTTTAGTCGGTTTTGTTTTTTCAAGAGTTTTTTTTTTGTGTCTATGTTATTCAAAATGATTTTTTTTTTCTTTCGTGATCACATGTTAAACATCAATACAAACTGAAAACAGAACAACGGAAATGAAATTTGGATTTGAATAGCGTTTGTATTAAGAAAAAATTGACTTTATGGCTAGATACTCGCTCTTGAATGCATGAAATGCAAATGAATAAAAATATGCAACCAAACCGCCAACGAACAGAATTTGTTGTTGATAAATTCTTTTAAGACTAATTCAAGACGAAATTCATCGAAGAAGATGCAGAAAAGTGTTTTTTTATTCTTGAAAGTACCTTCCCTTACTTTGAAACGTAATGTTAAATGTGTAAATTTTTTTGCTGAATAAATTTTCTACGTAATTCCAATCATTTTAATTTTAAGGTAAAAAGGGTTCAAACACGGTCAAACCGCAGAACCGAGCATCTCATGTGAAAGTAATGAACGAAACAAAAAAATCAACATGACGGAAAAGTGCCTACGGTGCGGTTAACCTAGCGCATTTTTGAAAAAATCACATTTTTCTCCAAAAAAAATAATTTCATTACAAAAATGCACCACCGAAACTCAGACAAATTGAATACAATGTGTGAATAACCGTTCGCCCACTCACTTGTTCAATTATTATCATGTTTGAAGCGACACCGTACATCGTTCGCCCGCTCACCCGGGAAGAAATGTCTATGAGCTAGAAATATGCGTGCGGCAGTAAAAGGGTGTCTCAAGGTCGCTTTCTTCGTATACAAATACATGGGAAAGATTTGAAGTAAGACGCCGAGAAGCCTCTACGCGTAGAATGCTCGAAGCTGTCATCGTACACATATTGAACACGAACATTGTTGTTTACACAATCGCACTCACACAAATGAACGCATCGATAGTGCCCGCTCAATATATGTACGATGACTGTTTTGAGTGTCCCTCGCCTAAAGTGCTGCGTGTCGTTTTTCTTCGTTTATTAAGCGATCTTGGGTGTCTTCTTACAATTTCAATTTTTTTTATTTCACAAAAAATTACCTTCGGGAAATTTTCGCCGTGTATTCTTTTGATCAGTGTCTTTTTCGCATTTTCTCATCATTTATAAATTCATTGCATTTTCCCATCATTTATAAATTCATTTAATACAGTTGACACACACTTGACTTGCATTCAGTCATTTAAAGAAGAAGTTACCTAAATATTGGAGATTCCTCACTTCAATAATGAATTTTCGGAATGTTGAATAAATGAAGATCGGTACACAACATCAACGACCTGAAAAGCATTGAATTTAAACACATTATACATTAAATTTACCGATTTTATTTTCAGTCCAAGGATACAGTTATATTAAAGTTCTGTTTTCTAACCTTATCTCGGAATCAATTCTTAAATTTATTCATTATAAAATGTGTCATCATACCAAATTACGTATGTGGTTTCACATATTTTAATTGCTCTAAACTACATTCTATTGCCAAGATTACAGTATTTGTTCGAACTTTATGTTGATTTCAAAAAGAAATTGAAGTGATGTGCTGTAATGAAACTATTTACGAATTAAGTATCAACAACAATATTATTCATACATTGGCGTATGCGTATCAATATAGACAGTCACTGCCATGTGATATAGATGAATCACCTCACTATGTAACACAGTAAAATAATCCTATCCTCAATATTCTATTTTTGTGCCCATGGGCCATCCAAGTGAATCATTCTAATTAGATCATCCGATCATCCCATCATTATAAATATCTCACACAGAGCAGTTGTTCTCCTTAGTCATTCATTCATGGAGACGGCTTGTTATTCGATGGAGATGATGGATCATTCGATAGAAATGATTCATTCACAATGTGATACGGCTAATTTAAGATTCAGAAATTAGTATAAGTAAGATGAACCGACTACGTTCATCGTTCAGACTTCTAGCAGAGGTTCCGTTTGTATGGAACGGGCGCGGGTGCCGATTTTTCGACTCTTACATTATTTTAATAAAGTTACTGTGAAAAACTAAATAAAACGTCATATCGCATTTTATTATTTTATAGTGCGTTGCTTTTTTTCAACTAATCGTAGTTTGACCGTAGAGTATTTAAGATGTCGCTCTTGTATTGATCGTTTCAAATGGTTTGCTGCAGAAGTCTATTCAACATAGTAAAGCCACAGTCGAAGTGGACGTAAAGATCAGCTGCCAATCATTTTGAAGTTCATTCACCTTCTTTTTCTTGATTGATACGGTGAATTGTGGTCGTCGGTCGTTCTTATCTCTCTTTTGGTTATTAGTTGGTCTGAAATTGATTGAAATTAATCGATTGGAATCAATTCAATTCATTGATAAATCACTTATAACACAAGAATGCTTGTATCACAAATGAAAACAAATCGAAAATCGCAATAAAGAAAATGGATTTGAAATGAAATTTTTATTTACCTGAGCTGAAATCATTCAAAGATCAGGGCTGCTAAGCTTGGCTATTGGTCCAATATGCCTCTACAGACAAAAATGCCGTGTTGAGTATTGACTTTCGATCCACATCTGAGTCGTTCCACCACTCGAGTGGGCACGATGAAGGAAATGTGATCTGTAAACAAAAAATTAAATTCATTTAGTATATTTGATGAAATCCCACCTTGGAATGAATCATTCAAATGATGAAAAATATCACACAACGGAAATTGATTGGCTACTTACCGAATTGATATTGGAATCCATGCTAAAGAATCCGTTTCATTTTCTCGCTTTTTCTTTTTTCGTCGTAGATTCAACGGATGATTGATCAATGAATGGCATTTCACAAGCGCGGTTTTTTTACAATCTTGCATGCATCCCTTCTTCTGAGCCTCGCATTCAACGATGTCTGTTTCCGTCACCAATAGCGTAATGGTTTCGTTAATTCTGATCAGAAACACAAGTTTTCGCATAGTTATGATCTTCAACGGATATTCGTTGGCTGATCCTTCGTTGAGATGGCGGCTTCAATTACTTCTTGAAATATTTTCATGAAGTTACTTTCAGATTCTTAGAATCGATCGATGGATTTTTTTTGGTATTGAACATTTGGAGCACAGCATTTTTTGAATGAATTTCGATCATCATGCGAATGGCCTGCAGAGCGAGTGTTGTTGACTTATCTGATACAGCTAACAATTTCAACTTATCTACTACTTTTAATAAATACATGAATTTTACAGATAATTAAGAAAATCACGAAAATTGAAAAACCAAAGAAAATTACTCTAATATTTGGGTTTTTATTGTTTTTTCCCACCAAATGCCGCAAAACAAAATTAAATGAAAAATTTCGTGGCGTTTAAAATCGTATAAAATTCGTTTTTGCTGGTCGATACTCATGCCAGGAACAGAGTTTGACTCAGGCGACAGATATATGCTTTAGCATAGAAAAAATATCCGCATATTTTTTGGTTTGTCCACTCTCAGTATATAACGGCACCCAGCTTCATCGAGTATCAGCACGCACACTGAACGTGGTAGTATAGGACGGTTGGTTTACGAAGAAAAAAATTGTTTATAAACAAAATCTACCAGAACTATAAAGCGCAAAACCTTAACATAGGACAGCATTGCTGCCGTCCAAATACATTGCGCTGTACAACTCTGGAAGATTTTGTTTATAAACAATTTTTTTTCTTTGTAAACAAACCGTTCTATAATCTATATTACTACGTTCAGTGTGCGTGCTGATACTCGATGAAGCTGGGTGCCGTTATATACTGAGAGTGGACAAACCAAAAAATATGCGGATATTTTTTCTATGCTAAAGCATATATCTGTCGCCTGAGTCAAACTCTGGCCAGGAAAACATATGTACAATACTCTAAGATATGGTAAAATTGTTTAAATTCAGCCGCACTAATATTTTGTTTTAGATTTAGCTCTATCACTAAATACCACAATTTTCCGGGATAAGAAAGATCGTTAAAATCAGTGAATTCGATGCCATTTCTGTCAATTAACAAATACTTTAAGTTGCCTAATGGTGGTAGACGTGCTAAATTGGTCAAATTATTATTATTTAGTATCAATTTTTCCAATATTGATGATTGAATTTATTTCATTGAACTGTGCATCAATCTCTCGAATATTCTTTGGGGAAAAAAAATCAAGAGTTTTTTTTATAGTCAACATACTTTTAGATTTAGTTGGGTTTTAAAAAATGCCTCAAAAATTATTGTGTTTAAAATCGATTGAATTACAAAACATACGAAAGATCGAAAGATGTAACAAAAAAAGCTACCCTGCAAAATATTACTGGCCCATTTAATTTCATTTCGTTTGTCTTAAGTATTTTATGTTTTTAAAAGCATATTTTCCGTATATTTACATTCTGATTAAATGTTTAATGTGTCCGTTCCGTAACGGAATATACGTATCTTTGAGCTATTAATTGAAATCAAAAAGTATTTTCACATTGTTAATTTTGCTATTTAAATTCATTTCGAACAGTGGCCAGCGGTTATCTCGCAAAGCTTCTGCTGTTCTTTTCTCAATCAATGGCAACTATTAACTAGTCAACCATGTAACTATAATGTAATATTTTTGATTATCTTCAATTTATACATATATGTACAATACACTTTTTTGACTTATTTTTATATCAATCGGAATAAAACCAATCCCATATTTGTACCTGTTATCTCGTTCTGAACGATTGGACAAGATATAAAATAGCAACGAAAAAATAAAAAGCTTAATTTACCGAGGCATTATAAATAAACCGAATATAAAAAAAATGTATTGCTGAAAAAGATGAAAATGGAATAAACAAATTTTTGGAACTGATAATTGACAGAATTGGGGCGTACGACGCCCCAAGTGTATTTTTTCATGAAAACTGGACTGTGATAAGAGATAACGATTTAATGTCTTCGGCAAATATGTAGTACTAGAGGTCCTCTACATCTTTACTAAAGACAGATATCGCTTATCTCTTATCAGTTCCGCAAAATACGCGAAAAACCGCGAAAACGCAAATATTCGGTTTTCCATTTATCACGGAACTGATAAGAGATAATAGATATCTGTCTTCAGGAAAGCTGTAGAGCAGTGGGAGATCTTTCGCGGTTTTTCGCGTATATTGCGTAACTGATAAGAGATAAGCGATATCTGTTTTCGGAAAATTTATAGTGCCGGCTGAATACTACAACTTTGCCGAAGACACCAATTCGTTATCTCTTATCATTTACGCGAAAAATCGCGAAAAACGCGAATTTTCTCTTATCATTTTCCGCGGAACTGATAAGAGATAAGGAGATGGTGTCTTCAAAAAATTGTAGTGATGATTGAAAGCACTCATCATTTACATCTTGTCAATTCCGTGAAAAATGAGGAGCCGAAAATTCACGTTTTCGCGGTTTTTCGCGTATTTCGCGGAACTGATAAGAGATAAGCAATATGTGTCTTCAGCAATGTTGTAGAGCGGGTTAAGTACTACAACTTTGTCAAAGACACTAAGTCGCTATCTCATATTACAATCAAGTTTTTATACAAAATGCACTTGGGGCGCTGTACGCCCCATGAAACGAAGTTAAGGTGTAAACGCAACAAACGATCAGAGGGTTAAAACTGAGTCCAGAGAAGGAACAGTAAATATTAACATAATGGAAACGGCCAATATTATCTTTCAATATTGTCATTCCATTGATACTAGTGAAGATTCTTTAAAACGGAATACTCTGTTATTAAAATTTTTGCATGACACAAACAAAAATTTCACAAACCCAAGAAAAATCAGATCAGCGTTATTTAGCTACTTTTTTATTTAGGCAGGCACTGATGATAGGATATATATATATCCCAACAGTCTCCTGAAAACTGCGAAAATCCAATATCACGAGGAAAAACCTACCACACAGTAAAAGAAAACCCGAAAATCCGTGCAGTGTATTTGAAAACAAATCTGTATCCATGTATTCGGGGTATATGACCAGATTGGTCGACTTTGTCACGATAATAAATAAATTATATCCTCATTTGAGTTTGAAATAGGTTTAGATAGGTATGGTAGTAAAGAAATACATGAAATAGTTATTGTAAATGCATTTCACAGATGTGAAGACGTTACAAAGGTGAAGTCTTCATTGTTTCCGCACACGGAGACCACTAACACGTCATCCACGACTGAACAAATCCGTTAATATTTAGATAAAACGCACAAGATCGCAGCTTTATTCGTAGTTATGGTTTCAAAAGAATTTGTTTTTCGGCACCCGCCGAGAACATTCACGCAATCGGGCTTTTATATAGCTGAAAACCACTTACGAAAGAACTTAGTGTAACACAATGCACCCCATTTATTAAAATCGACCAAAATATAAAAGATTTGATAAAGCTAAATCTTGTGGATATGGTTGTTTACAGTAGGTGGGCTCCGTTTGATAACTGTGAGCTGTTTTTAGACTTATATTCAGACTTTACGAACAGAAAATATGTTCTGAGAGAAGTCGACGACAGTGCAGTTGATTATTCACTGAATCGATGCACAATTGAAACAGACGGTTTTCTGTCAGAAAAATTCAAATTAGGTCAACCAACACCAGAGATATTTGAATTTATTTTTAAATGATGTGTCGATTAAGCAACTATGACTATACCTTGCACCTACAAATATTATGAACACGATTACATTGCTAAAAAATGTTATGAACAACGAAAAAGAGCAAAACAGTGACACAAATTTTTCCGACAACGTGCGTTGTACCGAAAACGTTGTGCGGTTCAGAGAAAATGCAAGTAGAAATTAATTTTGTAAATGATATAATAATGTTTGCACACAAATATATGGCGGAACTATCTCTGCTGCCATTTGCAATGCAAGTGAATTGAGAATGTTTGGAACATCATCATAAATAGCTATGATATTTATAATCAAATAATAAGAGGGACATGATCGCTAAGTATATATAATTAAAACAAAATCAAAGTTTTCGAGTAAATTTCAAGTGTCTAGTTATTATAGTATATATGTAAGGTTTTTTAATTTTACAAAGTTGAGCGTGAAAAATTACCTGAACTCAAATCAGTCAGTGAATATTCGCACGAGTGCGACGAATTATTCAATTCAGATTTAAATTGATTGCGAATCGCTGCTGAGCGCACAGGGTATATTCCGAATTAAATTATTTTAACATTTTCTTTAAAGTGTCACAAAATGAGTGAAAAATCTACAAATCAATTAAGAAGAAGAAATAATCTGAAAAGGAAGTGTTCATTAAGTAACATAATTATAAATCGATGGTTAGGAACAGAAGATGTCAACAAAATTCAATTGCATATGGTGCAGTTTTATAAGTTAAAAGTAAAATTGATGGAAACTTCAAAATTGAATTAATAGCATCAAAATCAAGAATAGCACCATTAAAAATAAAAACAATCCCAGGATTATTCAAGTCTATTAGTAGATAGAATAATAGAAGTAATAAAACCAATAATAAATTGGCATGATTATTCCATTTATTGTTGGACTGATTCACAAATTGTAATGCATTGGATAAATAAGGAACCATCTAGCTTAAAAGTATATGTTTGCAAATAGAGTAGCAAATATCCGAGATAAAAATAAAGATTTGGAGATACAATGGAATTGGGTACCAGGACAAGAAAATCCAGCCGACTTAATCTCAAGAGGAACAACATTGACGCTCAGGATGTTGTGATCCCAATTCCAGACTACGCGCGAATCAATTTAAAGTTTCCCCGTGATGAATATATTGATGAACTATCAAGAGATTCACCTAGATATAATAAGGACTATGCATTAACATGTGCACCATCAAAAATCGCAGCAGAATATGAGCGAAACTCATCGTGCGAAGCACATAAGCATGCAGCACGAAAAGTGAGAAAAAGTAGTAACATAACCACACATAACATACTGAGTCATGATGGAATTATGGTTTTAGATAAAAGTTTCAAATGAAACAACAACATGTTCGCTTGACGACAAAAAATATATAAAAGACAATATTGATATAATGAGAGATGTAGTAGACTTTTTGGGGATTTCAAATTCGAACGCTCTAGTAACATCTTGCTTTGCGATATTAAAAAACCTTGATCGATAATTTGATAAAAATGATCAAATGAATATTTCAATCATTATTAATGACACTACAGATGCCAGAAACATCCACTATAAAATAGTTTACTTCCAAACTATCGAGGATACTCTGGTCAGATACGCAGAGCGCATGAAACATTTTTTGTTAAATTTGGCATTTATCAAGTAGCTGGTTGCAGGAGGGACCAAACATACATGACACGATTATCACTGAAATGAAAATGATAAAACAACGTTTGGAATTTTTAAACAGAAGAAAAGAATTAAAAGAATAATTATTTATTACATCTAACGATACCATCAATAGACGTAAGATTTTCAAAATTCATAAATTTGATATCAAATTCATTTGAAAGTCAATTATGCTTTTTGATGACAATTGAATCAGCGGCCAGCGATTATCTCGCTAAGCGGCTGCTATTATTTTCTAAGTCAATAGCAACTATTAACTAGTCAACCATGACTCTATGTTTTGACACTTATATATACCATACTTATTTATGGACAAAAATGGCAAAAATACCTGATTTATTCATATTTTTATTTGTAGAGTTTATCTCCACGATTGTGCGTGGAATTCGAACACATGTAGATGCCATGGATTACATGTTCGACCAAGAACTAGAACAATTGATGTCCGGACAAATCGGCATAATAACAATTGAATACCGGTTATCGCACATCAATCATGTCAGACAAATTTAAAAGTGAACAAGTTAAAGGAAAACTTAACATCGAAACGAATTTAGTCGAAGGTGAAAAACTGCTAGATGTTATAAAAACGACACCGCTTTAATAATAATTACGCTAAATTACCGCTTTTTGTGCGACACCGAGGTTGACTACAATTTGAAGAGATTACAATACTTTTACGCAGGACATGGGCGTGTGGAAAAGTAATTTTCATATAATGTGATATGGATAGAGAGATGGATTGATAAATTAGTATAGACCAATTGCAAAATATTCCGTGCTATCCAAAACACGATCCCTACGAAGAATACCATGGTACCAATAGTTATATAATAACATAGGACCAACAAATATCGACTTACTGCAGTCGAATATGCTATAAAAACTATGATGAATTCATGTTACAAGAACAAGAAGCACAAGATTACGTACAACCGTTGGAAATATTCAACAAAAGAAGACAAAGCACACGAAGTAACATCTCCAATCTAAGACAATTTTTGTAGAAGTAAAAAGGAATATTCCATTTGAATCTCATTAAGTATAGTTTTACTCCATAAAAAGAAAACGGAATGAACACGGGATATCACCATTATTGAAAAAAAAGTGTTTTTACCGCATTTTTGGAATTTAAATACAAACACTACGACATAATACACTCAAAGCAGTTCTTATATGTTGCAACTTGTGCGATCAATTCGTCAAAACAACAACTGAGTATTAAAAACACAGACGTGATTCGTTCACTTCATTTTATTCATTTGATCATTTCTCTTTTTTTTTGCTGCACGAATATTAATCTCTGACCTAACTGATAATTTTTATTGCGTCGCGAGCAATGATTCGAGTTGACGGAACCGCACTGCGCAGTTGAGTTTAATTTCAACATTATTCTGGAATTTTGTGCGCTGAATTTATAATACACACTGACGGAAAGATGATAACACACTTTTCACATTTCGTTGATGAATACACACAGGGAAGAATGGTTGAGATTTTTTTTGTACAATTGATTTTT